CAGCAGCTCATTTGTAGCTCCCTGGGTGCCTGGTGAGACACAGTCACTGAGGTTAGTGTTGGCCAAGGCAGGCTCATCTCCTGCAGCTGCCTCTGGTCACACAAGCATGTGATTCAGGGCAGGAGCAGTCTGTCTCTCCCCACTGACCAGGAGAAGAGCCATCCTTACCTTGGTGAAAATCTGGTGCTCCATCACAGATTTTGTTAGAAACAAGAAGCACCTCAGCAGCATCACTGAGCTTGTGAAACCTGTGCTAAAGCCTTCTGGCATCGTCTTCACTTCAAGTGTGGCTGATTGCAGCAATAACTCATTGCAAGCTGGCTGGGTTGGTCTTTGCCATCTTTGAAAGGCTCTAATTATATCCCTGCCCTCAGACACAGGGTGTGAGGAATGCAGGCAGGCTCTGTCACGCAGGGCATCCTGTTGTCCTTTCCTGGGGTGCTCCTTGAGCCTTACTCCAGCTGCACAGTGCTTTGTGTGGGGAGTTGACCTAGGTTGGGCCATGGGCTTGTGAAGCAAATCCCAAGTGTTGGCCACACCTGATGACAAGCATTCACATTCATGCCACAGAAATCCTTGGTGGCATATGGAAAGCCACGCTGCATGTGGCATCAACTGAGTGACCTGCTAAGCCATTGCTGTAAAATTCCTTTAGAAAGACACGTTGTTTTGATCATCACAGCTTAGGAGTGAGCTAGCCCCATTTTGCAGAGGTGGAAGGGGAGTAGGCTGAGATGGTGGCCATGTCACCAAGGTTTGGTCCCTTTTGTGCACCTCCATGTTACCATTTGAATGTCACCGATGAACTGTTATAGTCAGCATTGAGCCTTTTCTAAGCCCAGCTTTGTTCTGTCCTCTTCTTGTCTGCACAGAGGCATTCAGAAGTGAGCTTAGGGCCATCCTGATGCTTTTTAAACAGGAAAAACCAAACTTCATCCAGCCACGAAGTAGACAGATGCTACATAGCAGGCACTGGCACCAGCATGTCCTGGGCTCAGTGTTCCTCAGTGCAAGGAGAGTGCAGTGTCAGTCACCAGCATTTTGTAGCCAGCAGGGCAGAGGGAAAGCACATCACCGAAATAACCTGCTCCCAGGCCTGCTACTCACATTAGTGGAGGCACGTGGCCGGTCTGGTCTCCTACAAGTTCTCAGGCTATGGTTATATGGCCAGCTGGAGCCACATGCTGCCTCTCTGCTTGTCTCTGAGCTGCTCTGTCTGTTTTCCTTTCTACAGAAACTTCCTGTTTATATTCCCAGGTGAGGGTCCTGTGGTAAAGGCACGAATATTGACCTGCGTGGAAGGGATGAATGTGCCCTTGCTGGAACAAGCCATACAGGAGCAGAGGAAATACTTCAACGAGAGGCAGGAGCGGATGGGAAACAGCACGTCCTGACAGCAGCTCTGAGACCAGCCATATGCTGGTCCCTGCACTGCCATTTGCAACAAATATGTTAAAAGTCAATCTAGAAGGTGGGTTTGCAACATACTGCTTTTTGCCACGGCAAATAGCAAAATCAAGTCACTATGCAGGGAAACACTTGAAGACTGTGAGTCAATATGTGACTGGGTTGTCTGTTCATGCCAGGTGTCATCACTGAAAATAGCTCTGGGAAGCAGGTTTGTTGTTTGTTTAAAAGGGTGGTTAAGGAAAGAGAGCGCTTGAATTATACTGGTCCTTTTGTAACGCAAGGCTTGGAGACATCAGAAGAAGGAGAAGGCTCTGAATCTCGAGTTAAAAAGCTCACACCCACATGCACTGCCAGAGCACAGTAGATTACTGGACTGTCAGCAGATCGGAGGTAAAGGGCATTAGTGCAAAGTTCGTTAGCCCTGTGTGGCTGTGGGTCCATGAGCGTGTGCATTTGGTTACTGTGACTCAGCTGCCACACAGGAGCATTCCTGGCAAAACACTCCCATAGCTGGACTGACCAACAAAGAATCAAGAACAAAGAGTCACTATTTTCAGTAGTACCTGCCACTTCAGGCGTTCAGGAGTTGGTGTCCAAGGGGGGGGATTGACTTTAGCTCTAAAATAAATATTTGCAGTGCCCTCAGAACCACCACTTGACTTTCTTCCTTGACACAACTAAGTTTAGGAGACCTAAAATCACTATTTTTTTGAAGCATCTAAAGGTTTTGACTGATATTTTCCTTAATAAAGATGAAAAGCCTGTCTTTTATTGATTAAAAACCTTTCTTGGTACGGGAAATGCATTAGGCCCTGCAGAAACCCCATGGATGATGTGAGAAAATATAGCGATATGCAGTTTTCCTCCTTCTTCCAAGTACTGGGTGCGTAAGGAAGCGCTTGGCTTTGAAAAAGTTGCAAGAAGAGGAGATGAAGTTACATCAGAGCTGCGTTGGTTTAAGAACATGGTGCCAGGCCCACCTAGCAGAATTAAAAAATCAACAAAAAGACACAATATCACTAATGTGAGATGAGAATAAAACATGAGTGCAAGAGAGAGAAGACTCTCCTGTGCTAAAGGAATTACTGGACGTGGAGTGAGCTGGGACTGTGGTTTGCAGGGGAATTCAGCCACCTGTAGCCTTTTCTGCTTTTTGCTCAGATTCTCTGGTGAAATGTTCAGAAAAATAAGGGCTGAAGCTGTATGATGTACAGATCAAAATGCAATAGGTCTTGGCAAAGTCCCCTGTTACCGGGAGGCTTGATTCAAGGGCCTGAGATGGTTCAGTAGTTACAGTGCTTCTATAATCTTTAATCATAGTTTAGCCTTATGTTTTTCTTCACGCAGTTAGGGAGATCCAAAAGCCCTGCCTCAGCACACTCTCTGTCAGCCCAAGTCCAAAAACATGATTTCAAGAGGCAGGATTTTAACCTGGTTTTGTAAGAGACAATAATGAGTCACATGGTGAGTGGAAACTCAACCTTCAAAAGCTGCCAGAGAACTCGCACAGGAGTTTGCCATAGCCTTGTGAATCCCTTTTCAGCCACAGGGCAACCACGCTTTGATTCCTTCAAATTGGCAAAATCAAGATCAATTTTAAAAAGATTTTGAGCTGGTGGCTCAGCAGTGGCGAGTGGACTGTCGTGTCCTGCTATGCCTACCGAAAGATATGGAGCCCCCAGGCCCTTTAGAAGACAGTCCCTGTGGCTGTACCTTTCCTGGTGCTATGATGCGTAATATTTTTTTAGTCTTGTCTTCTCTCAGCAGTCAGATCAATGATTAATCCCTGCCAAGGACATCTTCTGAAAGGCTGACCAAGCAGCGCAGCCCATGGGTGGGAGGTTCAAGGGACAATTGCGCAAGTTTAAAAACAAACAAACAGAAACAAACAGAAACAAACAAACAAAACCCCACAAAAAGACGACCTTTCTGTTCTGCGTTTGACCTGGTAGTGTCCCAGGGAACCCTGATTACACACCAAATCCCCTTGATTTTGTCCCCAGGCGCTGTACAAATGGAGCTACAGAGCTTCCCTTGGCCCTGTGCAGTCCCTGCTGCCTTTCCCGCAGGCCCAAACCACCTCTTTACATCTATTTCCCTCAATTTTTGCTTTATCCAACACACTCCACAACCTTGGTCACAAGTAAGCGGTTGGAGGCAGCTGGTGCACGGTGTGTTTGGCTCTTTGGCTCTGCCCGAAGATCCCCAGACACCTGCCACACCCCCAGGCCCTGCCAGAGCGCCCAGGCAGCCCTGTCTGCTGCTGCCCCCCCCTGCAAGGCAGATCCCCGTGCTGGAGAAGCAGCAAGAGGGGACCCAGACCCCAAAAGCAGCTCAGGGGACACACAGGAAGAGCGAGCACCTTCTGCACATTTGTTTGGTGTTTTTTTTCCCTTTCTTTTTTTAAAAAAAACCCTCAGAAAGCGGTGCCAGCCACAACCGCTGCCGTTGCGAGGCCGAGGCAGTGCCATGGACGCCTTCCGGGAGGTGTTTGAGAAGGTGAAGAAGATCGGAGAGGGCACCCATGGAGTGGTGTACAAGGCTCGCAACAAGCGCACAGGGCAGCTGGTGGCCCTCAAGAAGATCCGCTTGGATCCGTGAGTGAAGCAAAGGCCTGACCCTGGGGGCTGAGGAAGGGGAATGGCTCCCTCTGTGACATTCGATGGTGCCATCTGTGGTGACACGGCCGCCGGCTGAGGCCAGCAGTGCCCCAGGCCCCACCATGGGAGTGAGAGCGGGGCCCTGAGCCCAGCCCAGTGCCCAAAATGGTGTGAGAGACTCAAAAAAGCCTGATGTAAGGGAAACAAATGTCTCTATCGGCTCATACAAGCAGCTGGGGCCTGACCCAGTACTGACCAGGGCAGGGGGAAGGAGCTGCCATCTTGGGAAGAGGCCTCTCCCTCAGGGCTGTGGTGCCAGGGCCTGGTGAGGCTCAGCCTCCCAGCATGGCCGACTTCAACCCTGAGCAGATGAAAGCTTATTACTGTTCCCCTGGGTTAGCCCTGGGCTGTCTCCATGGTGAGGGGTGTCAGTGTGGAGCAGGGCCCATGGTGGAGGGACTGCACCCCATGGCAACCCCTCAGCATGGTGGAGGTGGCTGCCTGAGGGGCAAAAAGCTTTCATCTCCCCCCTCCGAAAAGTGAGGCTTGGACATTTAAACCATTGCTTCTCCGAACATGCCCCTAGATGCTCACAAACAAGCTCAACTCCACAGCTTGTACTGTCTAGATCACCTCCTCCCTCTCCTTCCCCACAGCTCCATTTCCCCCTGCCCCACCTCAGCCAGCCCCACATGCAACTCCATCCCAAACATGGGGTGCCCAATGTGAGAGAACCTCCTCTGGGCAGGCAATGGGGTACAGTGGAAGGGAGGAGAGACACTGGACCCTGATGGGCTGCAGGATCTCACTGAGGGACAGAGTGCCATACAGCCTGTCTCTTCCACAGGGAGTCAGAGGGTGTCCCTAGCACTGCCATCCGAGAAGTCTCACTTCTGAAGGAGCTGGAGCACCCCAACGTAGTCAGGTAAGACCTGAAGGAACCCTCTCCGCCAGCATATTGACAAGCTCCCGCTCATCCCCATGGGGACAGGTACAGGCAGCAAGAGGGGCCTTCCATTCCTTCCCTGACTGCACAGAAAGGAGTGAAATAAACAGGAAAATGCAGGAATCACTTGCAATTCCCTGGTTTGGAGCAATAGCTCACAGCACTGCCACTTTACTCCAGCAACACAGGCTGGTCCAAGCTGCTGCTGCCGCCCTAAACTAGATGCTGCTTTTATATCTGCCTCTCTCTGCTCCAAAGGACTCACAGAGCAGAGGCATCTGTGGAAGGAGGGATGTTTGGGCAAAGGTCTGGAGAAGGTCTTCCCACACCCTCTGTAAGAGACCAACACTCCTGCATAGCATGATTCCCACATGAAGGTACTGAAGGGAAAGCTTGCATTTCTTTTGCAGGCTCTTGGATGTCATACACAGCCAGAAGAAGCTCTATCTGGTGTTTGAATATCTGAATCAGGACCTGAAGAAATACTTGGACTCATCCCAAACCGGAGAGCTTCCTTTAAGCTTGGTCAAGGTACAGTGTGGAAGGAGTGCTAACAGACAGGGCAGAGAGCATGTTTCCTTGCTGCCTTCTGCTGGGCAGAGCCAGAACTGAGCTGCTGTTACCCAGACTGCATCTGGAAGAGATTCATCCTTGGCTGGAGGCATTGAACCTCTCACATCTCAAACCTTTCAGCTGGGAAAGCCCATCTCACTGCAGAACAAACTGCTGTTAAGGGGACAACTGAGGGATCTATTGCTAATTGCTTTTGTACAGAGCAATGGATGGGCAGAAGGCACTGCCACTGCTTGAATTGTAGTTTTTGTCCCCGTGTAAGGTAGGAGCAGTTTGTGTGCATCTCTGAGTAGTGACCTGTAAGCCTGGTGTTGCCTTATAGCAAGGTCTTTTTTCCCATTCAGGTCTGTAAATGATCCAGAGTGTGTTGGTTCACGTGATCCAGCCTTTGAAGTGGTTTCATCATGGTCTTGTCTGAAATCTTTTCTCTCCTTAGAACTACCTTTTCCAGCTGCTGCAGGGTGTGAACTTCTGCCACTCACACAGAGTCATACACAGGGACTTGAAACCAGAGAACTTGCTCATTAACGAAGCAGGAGTAATCAAGCTGGCTGATTTTGGACTGGCAAGAACTTTCGGAGTTCCCCTACGCAAATACACTCACGAGGTAGTGTTGAGACTCCCTGCTACCTGAGAGTGGGGTACACAATCCATAGTGGGTGAACAACAGCAGCATCACAAGTTACTCATGCATAGCTGAGGCACATCTATGCCCAGGCACATGCTCTTAACCTAACCCACAGCTAAGGGGTTACCTCATGTCCCCACAAAGTGTGCTGACTGTTTCTACCCTAGCCTACCTGCTAGCTGAGTTCTCTCCTTCTCTCCTTAGGGTATATTTATCTATTCCAGAGTGTCCTATTGAAGAATGATCTGTTAATCCCAATCTTGTTGTCACTAAAGCATCTGTTAATTCAGCATGGCCTTGGCACACTCTTATTTGTACAGCTGCTGCATTACAGCTGAGAAGAGAGGATTCTATGCCTCTAATTTCACCCAGGAAAACTAGACAAAGGTTGTTTGTTGGTTCCTTACCAGGTGGTGACTCTGTGGTACCGAGCCCCTGAAATACTGCTGAGATGCCAGTACTACTCATCTGCTGTGGATATGTGGAGCATCGGCTGCATCTTTGCAGAAATGGTAGAGTGGGTTCAAATAGTCTCTTTAATGAGCAGGGAGGATGCAGCTGCAATGGGAAGTGGAGGAGGGACAAGACACAGGACATCTGTGATACCGTGGCCCCATCCTGTGCTGGGTTGGGTATTATTGAAAGTCCACCCTGAGAATTAGCTGATCCTTAGCTGTGGGCTCAAAAGGAAATTTGCCACCCTCAGGGACCCGGCAGAAGGCAAGGAAACCTCTGTAGTCTGGCTGCAGTTCCAGGTAGATGGGAATGTGGTGCCTGTCCTTTCAGAAGGGATAACTTCAGTCTTATTGCTGCAGCATTTTGATCCTGGGAGGAGGTGATGACTTTCTGGCAGATGTCCCTTCAGTGGGCTGCAGAGAACTAGCACTTCATATCATGGTAGAGTGGCTCTCCTAGGGATCCATACTCCGCTTGGAAGAGCTTTTGTTATCCCTGCAGTGTAACAGCACTATCCCTAGATCCCAAAGCCCTGGGCAAGTAAGTGGGGAGGGAGCTGGCCTGCAAAAGCAGGTGTTAGAAAACTGGAGAGAAAGAGGGATAAGGAACTTGCTGGAAGAGGACACCCTCAGGGAAGCACAGATCCATGGAGAGGAGCTGGAGCCAAGCAGACAGACACCCGGGACTTTCCCAACCACTACCTGGCAGAATTGCTGCATTGTAGCTGCCCTGGTCTGTGCAGTTGTTGGCATCTGCTGGGACAAAGGGCTGCTTGCAGCAGGAAACAGGGCACGCAGCTGGTGGACAGGTGGGAACTGGCTTTTGGGTTTTTTTTCTTTTTTTTCCCCTCAGGTGACCAGGAAGACTCTGTTTCAAGGGGACTCTGAGATTGATCAGCTTTTCCAGATCTTTCGCACCCTGGGCACTCCCACTGAGGCGACCTGGCCTGGGGTGACCCAGCTGCCTGACTACAAGGAGGACTTTCCCAAGTGGACAAGGAAGGAGATGAAGCAAATTACTCCCACATTAGATCAAGATGGTATAGACTTACTGGTGGTGAGTGAGGGCTCAGAACAAGACCCGGGGACAGGCAGAACCTCGTCAAACTGGGCAAAGAGTAGGGATAGTTGGGACTGATTTGCCCAGAAGTATATCATCTGATCAGGCTCTAATGCTCATTTCTGCCATTGCAGAAACACCAAATCATCTATTTAGGGTTCAGTCCTGGCTCTGCAGTGGAACTGTCAGTGCAGATTCCTCTAGGAGACCACGGCATCAAGGGTCAAGAAACCCCTCTAGCATAATCCCCATGGGAACTTCAGCTGTGGGTTAACTCCTGAAGCCCAGAGAGAGGAAAAGGCAGGAACGATATCTGCATCTCGGCCCAGCTGCCTGCAGGTGGAATCAGTTATTTGTTTTGTAAAAACCTAAATCTGCTGGGTTTTTGTCTTGGCAGCAATTTCTCCTGTACGATCCCCGCAGCCGCATCTCAGCCGAGGCAGCCCTCCATCACCAGTACTTCTGCAGAAGCTCTCGGAGCTCTGAAGAGCGACGTGCGCCGCAGAGACACCGCAAATGAGAAGACACAGCTCTCCCCATGCGCTTACACCTCCGGACAGTGGTGCAGATCTGCCTTTGGGCACTTAGCAGGGGGCTGGAGGGGAACATTCATGCATTTAGAGACCCTCAGCCTGTTGCTGAGGGAAAGTTTGTCTGGGTTACAGCCAGTAGAGCTGTTTTGAAGAGGTTATGTGCTAAAGGGTGGGGGGTGTTTATCAGCATAAAACACTGATGTGTAGATGAGAGAGCATCTTTTAGAGGTTTGTCCTTGCATTAGTCACAGAGCGAAGGTGACACACAGTGATTTCTGTCTCTCCAGCACTGGAGCATCCCCAGGTGTGTTGGTGGCAGTTTCTGACAGCAGGGCGTGCTGGAGCTCCACTTTGGTTAGGGGAGCGCATCTCTGCTCAGCCCTTTGCTGCCGTTTTCTGACTGGGCTAGTCAGCGTTAGACAAGTTGTTTAATCAGAGCTGTTTGACAGAGCTGACATTCTGCCGTTTCACAAGCTGAAGAGCACTATCAGGTGTCTTAATTTGTGTCTTAGCTGGGACTGAGAGGCCAAAAGGTCTGTTGCATATGGCTGGAAGCAGTAACAGCTTTAGCTTTCCATCACTTGTCCAGATGTCATGCTGTTTCCTTTGCTTTATTGTCTTGGAAATATTTCTGCTGTTCAAATGTTTGGAGAATTGTCACTAACTTTTGGTCTGGTTTTGACATCTTCCTTTTTTTGCCTTTCAGAAAAAAATAAAGGCTTGTCATTTGTTCAGAAACCTTGGTGTTTATTGTTTGGCTCAGCCCATCAGGCTAGTGACGCAGGACAGTCTATCTGGTCCTTTTTTCCACAGAGCTGTTTTCCTTTCGTCATCTCCTGTACTTTCTTTTATCCTTTCCAGCCCAAATCCTTGTCAGGTGCAGAGATGTGCTTTTGATTCCGTTGTGGAACAAGGGGCTGAGGATTCTGCAGCCCAGTGCTGTCTTGGTACGGCCTTGCACCACGTCCTCACCTACCTCTACTTCAAGATGCAGGGCCCCAAACCTAATACAGAGGGGCACCTGAGGGGGCAAAGCAGG